TCCGGCGTTTCCATCAGGAAGCCCAGCTTGGAGTAAATTATTACCAGGATTCGTCACTTTCCTGGTACCAGACTAGTCGCATAGTGACAAATCTCTTTCTGTTCCTTAAGGACGGCGACGGCCTGTGGTGGTGACGACCTAGGGCGGACTTTGGCTAGACTGATCTCGGGTCTCGAGGGAACGACAATGGCTAAACTAATAAAACTCCGATAGAGTGAAAGTTATGCTCAGGCCCACAGAACCAGTGAAGATGGACTATCTAAATTGGTATTACGGTTTGGATAGCACAGTGGTAGTGATGCCGGTGGTTCCATTTTGCCTCGGGCCAATTTAGCTCTCCCATCCCTACGAGGTCGGGAATGAAGGACGGGTCGTATAAAATAAAAAAAATTTATTGATATTTTTTAGCGTTTAAAATAGTATTAGTACTAATGTATTTTTACCCCACAATCTCCTGTTCATCGTGGGGTGATTCTAAAGTGTCTACTATTCCCTGACTCGTGAGAGAGTGGCCCAATAATTTATGTTCATTCTAGGAACTTGCCGAGCATCACATTTTCCTTCTAGGATTTTTATAAAGACTCACCATTAGCTGAGTGGTCTTCCCGTTGTGAATGTTCAGTGAGATGAAGTTGCTAACGGTTCTTGGCCACTGGTTATCGTGAAGACACATCAGGTACCAACCCATCCGATTATCGCCATTTTGGGGAACATATCAGCGTCTACGACATTTGTTTGTGATGTAGGTCAGTATTTGAAGGTATCTTCCACTTACGTGAAATGGGATACTACAACAATTACCCACTGGATCTTTTTTCGGGAACATCGATGGTCATTTATTCTGCTTAAATAGTGTACAGGTCTCCGAGGTGTACGTTTAAGCAAGGGAATGTTGAAGATTTGTAAAAGTTGGTTGAAGCCGGCTGCTCTTTGTCTTCTCTCTGCTTATGCAATGCTCTTATAAGTTTCCTAAGCTGCTCGCTGTTTCCTGTTCAACTATGGAGCTAAGTCATTCATCATGTTGAGTTACCGGCCTAGATAACTGGAGCACTCGGAGATATTAATACCTTTGAGTATGAATGGGCATACGAAACCATTCCGTTCTTCATGAACATCGTTTCTGTGAGATTTAGTCGAAAACCAGTATTTCTATAGAAGTTACCAAAGTTAGATGACATTCGTTCCACCTGGTTGATAGTTGGTGTTATAAAAAATAACGTCATCGGCAACGCGATTGTGGTTTAATTTGGAACCATTGATTTCACTCCCATTTTAATTTTCGCATGACTTTCTCGAAGTTGACTACAAACAATTTTGGCTTGATGACATCGCACTGCCAATTTCCTTTTCTTATGTCTATGTTAATATACTTAGGAAATCGCAATATTCTGACTGTGAAATTCGTTTGTATTTCGCGAAGGATCTTTCCATACGAAGTAGGGTTGCTCTGGGTGTCTGTATCTTCGCTAACCGCTTCTATCTCAACTGAGTTGACGGTTTTTTAAGAAGATAAATGTGAGGCAAAACAGTCTTTTATGCCCTCGCTTCGATTAGTCTCATCGTCTTATAGATGGGTTCTGTCGTAGTGAGTCGTTTTCGAAATCCTCCTTGCTCACATGGCTCTCTTTCATCCGGTTTTTTGTCAACCCACTTGAGGATGACCAGAATGAAGATTTTGTAGATGACACACGGCAGGCTGGTTGGGTGAGGTTTCTTAGAAGTTTGTATAAAATACTGACCGGGTGTTCTGCGGTTCTTCATCGACGGAAACGTTTCGCTACGTAGAACCGGTCGGACCACATATCTCTTCTCCTCAATTTCATATGAAGGCAAAAAGACATTAATATTGAAAAGTTCAGAGTAAAAATGGTGGATGATTTTTACCACTGCTTTTCTGGAAGCAGTTCCTGTTTTATTTGATCGACAGAGGACGATCACCTAAGTCTTTTAGATGGCAAAGCATTGCTATGCGTTAGCATTGTTCTTCGTAACCTCTGTGGCTTCGGCCAAAGTGCTGCTTTTCTACACTTAAGTTACCTTCTTTTATCAGAATTCTCCATATATTTGCAAGTTACGCAGTGAGTCTGCGACTGCATGCGGGTACTGGGATTCCACATTGGTGTGCGAGCTCCAATGTTCCTGCTTACAAACCGTCTCTTCATGACGGTAAAGCTCACGCCTTTAATACCAATAGAACTAATAATAGATTAATTAATTAATTAACAGAGCAGACGCAAAGGTATTGGAGTAGGCAGTATCAGACTTTATCTATGTTGTCTATAAGTTCTTCATCTTCACCTTCCCAACTAATGATCTGAACCAATCCCAATTTATGCTAGTTTTAGGATTTTGTACTCTAAATTTCACGGGTTTCTCGTCTTCCTGCAAAGAAAAACCCATCGTACACGAAGAAAGCCGTGGTGATCCGGTGCAAAATTTCGACACAACGGCTATCACTAGAGAAAACATTAGAATTAGCGTGATGTAGTCTTTCCTGTAATGGCACTCTACAGAAAGACTCCTACGCCTAACGTTCAGAGAATTGCTTTTGAAATCGCAAGTTACAAGAAATAGTCTTGGTCATCAGTATCTCAGCCAGCTACTGGGTTAGCCTATTCTAAACTATTAATTCTGATATGGAGTACTGCAAACGTTCAACGCTTTGACCTCGTGTTTGTTGTAACTTGATGTGAGCGCGTAGCGAAGATTGCTAAACCCAACCCAGAACTAGTCCATATCTCCCTAGCCGTAAGTGTCTACTCCGGGTTAGTTGTTCAAAGGAATCTATGCTCATAGCTATTCTCGTATTGTCAAGAGCACCTACTACCAGTTCCTCTGCTGTTGAATATTCCGAGTAGTCCTCCTTATATTCTTCTATCACAAAGGGCAATGGAGGACGCATCACAAGTTCCTCAATGTAGGATCTGGTTGCTAACGTGCGTGATTTATACGTGAAGATCGTTTTAGCTTTTCCTGATTTAGGTTGTCAAATGGCCTATTTTAGCAACGTCTTCCTACTGCTCATTGGGGCTCTTTTTGGGCTAGGGGAATGGGCCATTATTTTTACAATTCTTGACGATCCTTTCCTATAGGTATCCGAGATAATGTGTATTAGCTGGATATACTCAAATATAGCCTCGCCCCACGCCGACCAAGCCGTCGCCTACCTCCACCTTTCAATGTCGGGAAATTAATGTAAGAGTTCTCTGCCAATAACGTCCTCTAATCCACATGAATGCACAACTGCCTATGGTAAAAAGCTGGGTACGCACTATTTCGGCTACCTACCCTTCGGCTTCGGCAAGAAGAATATTCAACGGCATTCATTAAAAACACGGTCTATTAGAAGACTAACCAAACCCATAGATGAATCTAGAGCTTTCGCGGAAGATGGATTTGACGAAAAAAGTGTGAAAGGAGTTCTGGAATCCGCGGAACATATAATGTCAAGTCATATATATATTTGTGTTTACCAGATCGATCCCGTTAACGGATGATTGCTGTGGACGCCGTTAGGTAGAAAACTAGCAGAGAGAAAAACGAAACGAAGGACCCGCATGGTGTGGGGTGAACGCGTTACCGCCCAAAAAGCGTAACAACAATTTCGATCCCCATTGTAGACACCTGTGATCCGGAGTTTCGCAAATATCTCAGCATCATCGCGGATATATATATATATATATATGTATATATATATATATATATATATATATGCATACTTACTTTGCTTGGATGAACTGCCTTTACTGGTTGTGCATTTCCGTTTTTTCGGAGTTTTGCTGGTTTTGCTATTGCGGTTCCCTGGAGTCCCGAGGTTAGCCTAACTAAAGTCTACTCCATCTCGTCACCATCGCAGGAAATCACCGTTCTTCTTGATCAGAAGATTTGTTACCATTCGACTAGTTTGGTACCAGGATGGTGGTGGATCCACTACTGGTTTACTCCTAGCTGGACTTCCTAGTGGAAACGCCAGACTCAACTTGGGAGACGGTACTTAGATGATGAATCCTCCCACTGTACATTGCAGCCTGACACCCAGGGACACTTCCCAGCCACGATGAGGCGGTAAACTGTATGGATACACATATATATATATATATATATATATGTATATATATGTATGATTTTACTAGCAGATACTTTCATTTCATATTTTGAGCAAAATTATGTAACCTATAATAAGTTTTTAAACTCTTAATGCAAAGCAGACAGATGGTAACTCCAACGGTGCATGCGGAGGACATAATTGCCATTCCTGGCAATGATCTTTCCATTCTAATGATTTTCATTCCAACTTAGTAAAGTTCACTTTGAGCAGATATTTGTTATTATTATCACTTACTGCTTGATACAAATCAAGAATAATAGATATACAAATCCTCTTTGTTCCAAGTGGACTGAAAATGAACGTATAAAGTATTCCATAATTTTTAGAGTATTTAGTGAGCCGGTGATTGCGGTCGCTATTCCACTGGTACGTGACTCTCGTCCAGATATCACCGCATGGCCAGCTCCGCCTCAAAACGTGCCCCTTACGTGCATTACAGGGAATATACGGTTAGTACGGTCTTTATAAAATATGGATATCATAGAAATGCTATAAGAATTGGCCTGGATTCAGACATTAAGAAAGCATTGTGCGATAACCGACCGATTCTTCTTATCGACTTGTTTCCGTTGAATTAGTAGAGAATGTTTTGTTTAATACAGTTGTCTAATATACCGTATTACAATAATACAAAGGCAAAACTATATATGAAAATGTGTGTTTAAGAAGACTATTATGACGTGAATACAAAGGCATAGGACTTTAATAGAAAACAACGCAAAGAGGTTTGAAAGATCGAAACTGACATTCATTCGTTATGAACACAATGATCGAATTTAGAACTCCAAAAACAGCACCTGCTTGTCCTGCTGTATCACCTGCAGCCCCTTCTCCGATTGCAAATGGTGGCAGCACAAAAACAGAAATCGATGATTCAACCACGTTGCTTACAATGCTAAAAGTAGCAACTTCAACTGGCACCAATGGTAAGGTCACCGAATTAGAAAATGAATGAGAACAAAGCTGTGTACGTACATTCGGTCTACAATGCTACAGCGCAGCTCAAGATAATTTCTTCTTAACCATTTTACTTACTGCCTATTCTTCTTTACGGCAGGGTTATTTTGCGAAATATAACTATTATAATGCTGAGATATTTGCAAAACTCCGGACCGCAGATGCTTGCGGTGGGGAACGAACGCGCTATTGTCCTTTCCGGGGAGTAACGCGTTCACCACCACACCATGCGGGTCCTTCGTTTCGCCTGTCTCTCAGCTAGTTCTATCGATCTTTTGCCATCAGCAATCACCCGTCAACGGGATTGATCTGGGGAGCCCAATTCGGCATTGAACCCAGTTAAGCTGACCGTACCCTACCGTAAAGAAGAATAGGCAGTAAATAAAATAGTTAAGATTGTGATTATAACTATAGCTTTAGCTTAACTGGGTTCAATGTCGATTTGGGCTCCCCAGATCAATCTCGTTTACGGGTGATTGCTGATGGCAAAAGATCGATAGAACTAGCTGAGAGACAGGCGAAATGAAGGACCCGCATGGTGTGCTGGTGAACGCGTTACTCCCCAGAAAGGATAATTTCTTCTGTTTACAACTACAAATGAACAAACCTCAGAGACTAAGTACTGTATATACCCAATAAATCCTGAAGAACTGCACAGCTCGTCCAATTAAGATACATTTGATTGTTTGAAATTGGTTTCAAGAATATTCGCTTGTTTATAAGAAGCTAACCATTTCGTAATTAGACAATGTAGGAGTACCTCGAGGACGTGAGACAGAACTGAAGAAGAAGATCCAAACTCTTGAGGAGACGGTAGCAGAATACGAGCGACAGAAATACAATGTGATGGGGACATTTAGTGAGTACAGGTGAGTATAAAACTTTCTCTTCTTCTATTAGTTACACGAAGGTACTAGAAAAAATTCGATGCAGGCGTATGGCATCTAATAGCACATCGTTTCCATGAAACCCACTGTTGAAGCTGACCACGATGTGAAAAGTTTAAGAAAATACAGCTCTCGGCGTAGATCAATTCCTGAGGCATGCACCGTGCATTCGACTTCATTAAGCATCGTTTGGAGGTGATTGAATGCATATCTGGCTTTTACAATGACTCGCGGTGGCCAACCGATTTATCGAGCCAGCGCTGTTATCCTTCCAGACAAGTCTGATACCAATTTGCCGACCCCGGAGGGATGGAAGGCTTGGTGGACCATGGGAGGAGGGAACGATTCCATGCCTGTGTTACAGTGGCGCCTCGAACCACTGCGCCACACGCGCCCTGGAAAATGAAATTAGTGAAGAATTAGTATCTGTAAAAATTTGGTTTGGACATTTTGCTTTAAATCATTGCGTTGATCTATGGTTTTTCTTCATTCTCAATGCCTGGGATGGTCTAAACGATGAAATTAAATCATATTAGGACGAAACGACGAAGCTGACATCATGTATCAGTGACAAAAACATCGTTTTATAGAGAACGTGTAGCAGAACGTGAACGTAAGCTGGAAGCTGAATATTCAAGCAAAATTATTGCACTTTCTGAAGAAGTATTAGGAGCAAAAAAGGACTTTGAAGCCCGAATGAAGAGCTTCCAGGCACTTCAGGTGAGAGATTTGCTCTTGATGTTAAAGTTATAACGTCCACATAATTTAATGCACATAACGAATTGGTACCTTGAATAAGAGATGATACACAACACTTCAATAAGTAATGATTCAAGGACAAATTTGAACGAGAAAAGGAACAAGCGCTAGAAAAGTTGAGGCAAGAGCACCAAAAGGAAATTCAGCTATTGGAGCAACGATTTTCAGAGTCTCAGTTGCTGAATTTAGAGCAGAAGTAGGACAACTCAAAGTTCTTCGCCTATACAACATTTGAGAGCGATATAATAGTTTTCTCATTGAGGTACGTAATCGAAATTCAACGACTTGAGGAAGAACGAAAGTCGTTACGATCAGAAAAAGAGCGGCTTGAGGAGACATTTGAAATGAAACTGCGCAGAGCACAATCTCTCTATGAAACTGAGTTGACAGCAGCAAAAATGTTATACACTAAAGAGCTTGAAGCGCTGAGGGATCATGAAGAGGCTTTGAAAGAAGAACTTCTGGCGAGGTCAGGTAGTACTGAATTTGTAGTGAGGATTGATTTCTGATAAAATATTCTGTGCTTCAGAAATCTAGAAATATGTGGAGAAAGATATGTTTTGGCACTCCACACTTATGGAACGTTATTTATATACCCACTGGCCGCTTACGAGATCTTTTCTATGAAAATCTTACGTCTCATTGAGTAGCTCCTATAAGTGGTATGGTGTTGTGGTAGGAAATGTTGAACTCACCTTAATAAGAACGATAAATGAATTTATTTAGTTCATTTCTATAGTTCTGGGAGATGATTAAAGAAAATGACTAACAGTAATTAGACAACTAGTTGAATACTCAAGAATAAGACAAATTAAAGCTAGTAAAGGCAGGAAATAATTGATTTGAATTTTTCAAATGTTCCTTTTTTTGAAGACAGGACGAGTTCCACGATCACCTGCAAGAACTGCAACATCAATCAGAAAGAAGCAGAGATGAGTTGGACAGTTGTAGAAATGAAGTAACAGCACTGGAACGAAAACTACAATCGAAGGAAGTGGAGGTACAAACCATAAGTAAGGAGGTAGGGTGAACTCGTTAAGAACCTGAAATTTCTTAGTTCCAATTAATGCGAAGGATAACAGTGGAGAAATACTAAGCTACACATATCAAAGTGGAGAGTGCTTAAAAATATATCAAAAAGCTTCCTTATGGTCTTTCTAATGGTTTCTTATTTGTTGTTCTCCATGCTCTACGTGTGTTTTCATGCTACAACATGTACAACTTTTGTCTGTGATTAAAATAAAGTCACTTCCACCACTCAACCAAAGTGCTATCCCTTTTGGTAAGGTTTTTAAGATGTGGAAACTATATTTTGCTTTTTTATATTCACTTGCTTCTTACGACAACTTTGGTGTTGCTAGAGCGATTAGAAATGGACCAGTCAGCGATTGGCGGAATATCAAATTGTACGTATGTGAATCCTTTCTGCAGAAGGGGTTCTATTCCTACCAACTGCTCACTAAGAGCGAGCCAATGAAATACCTTGTGATTACCTGTCCATGGAGTATTTAAAGCGTAATGGAGGACAAGGAAGAAGATAAGGAGGATGGTGATAGTGCAGACGGTGTGTGGTCAGATTATTTGGTGCCTTATGACCATGGGAATTTAATCGATAGTCGATAAGGAGTAGACCAACCGTAGCTGCATGAACGAACAAATCCGGTTTACTTTACGAATTATTCACAGCTGACATTCGGAACTGCTTGTACAAGAACATCTATAGATGGGGAAGATGAGAAGAATGAGTGACATAGAGCGACAATTCTTGAAGAGGTAAAAGGGTCCATTGATGTCTGCCTTGAAATAGTTATTGTTAAAGTTCTATAAGTGAAAAATTCTTGAGCTCCGGTTTCATCTTTAGACCCAATCCTCTTTACTCTAAAATAACGAAAAATTGCAGATTTGAAAAAATGCTGACTGACGTCCATTTGGAGAAAAACACAACGTTTGATTAAATGCAAGTTGTTCAAGATCAGTCCACTAAATGGTGTTGAAAAAAGTGTCGAAAAATCAGCATCATTCATAAACTGCTGATAGAGATATGTTCGATGGCAGATGAAATGCGCCAAGCTCGACGAGTTGTGTCATGCAAATACAACCCAACCAGGGAGAGTCAAGGCAGCCGAGAAGTGGGTTGTTAATTCACTAGCAATCTTTACATACTGTTTTTCAATAGACGGATCACGTTAATTCTTCGAAACTATATGTCGATTGCGATCGCAAAGTACACAAACAAGGTGGAACGTTGGAGGTAATCAGGCTACTGGTCATCAGAAGCCACTGCAGCATACCGAACCAACGGCATATTATATATGGTATAGAGAATCTCTATAAACAGTGGAACCGTGACTGAATGATGATATTCCGCCGAAACCAGAGCAATTAATTAGAATTTCGCCGAAATAGAATCTTTACTAATCTAGAGAAGCGAGCCCACTCCGAGCTTTGACTAGATGCCTATACTGGTGGCTCAGAAGCAGAAATGGATGAGGTACGAACTATCAGCATTATTCATCAGAGCTATTACCATCGGACTAATATTCCTTCAAACATCTGACGATCAGAAACATTCCCCAATCAAGAAACGGTTAAAAACGTCTTGGACAACTTCATCGGATCGAGAAATCATCAGCTGAATATCTACGCTTGTAACACGTTGGAAAAGGCGTACTGATTGCAGTCCTACTTCCATGGTTCGATAGAACTGATCTTTAGAAAAGTGCATATTAAACTTTCCGTTCGCAAATTAAATTTTATGTTGAGCAACCATAAGCATTTTAATATTTAATAACCTACTACAAAATCATTCCATGGTCTTTTTATAAAGGCTGTAAATTTTATGAAAGTTCTTGTTTAGCTGGAAGATGCCCGTGCAGAGACAGATGAAGCTCTAAAGCGACTATCACTGACCACTATCGATTATAACGAGCACAGACAAAAATTTCAACAACAAGAAGAAGAGCTACGAAAAAAATCAAGTGAGAGTTGTATAATTGACAATAGCAAAAGAATAAGAAATCCCGTTTTACTGACGTATTTCTCGTTTCACTGCTCTATTGCTGGTTCGACAAAATATTTCCTGGGAAACTCATATTTGGGAGTGTTAAAGTCTTCTCCGTGGACACTCGCATGCCCATGTTGGTTGGAAAGAGATTTTTCCCCTTGCGGCAAGGATTGTACTAGTCGCAAGTGATTCTCAGAAGCTAGTGATTCCCGGAATTGGCGTACTTTTGCCTTTCCTCTAACGGAAACTCCTCGACCTAGGCGACGCTTTTAGAGGGATGAATGCATCGTAAACATTGTAAATTCGACAGCCAGAAACGCTATTCAGAGACTATTAGGCGCTTAACCATTGCAACTACAGTATTTATGAGCAGAGCATAAAAATTACAGGACTACTAAATATGGTGGAAGTAGCTAAGACGAAACTTGAAACTGTCGTACGTGACCTGCAGACAGAAGTTCGTGCCCTGAAAAACAAGGTGAACATTCGGGACTAATTATTATTGACAGGGAATATTTACTGGTTTTCCCAACATATGGTATGTTTGAAATACTGCTATGAAGAAAATTTTTGTAGATTTAGGTAGAGTTTCTGAAAAAAGAGCGTGAAAACCTTCAAAGTCAGAGCGAAAGCCAAACACAGTTGCAGAACTCTCAAGTAAATGCGCTAGAAGCGGTAAGATTGAGTCTAAATTTAAGAATATAAGCTACCGTTAATCTTAAACAAGCTAATGAAATTCCCTTTAAATGTCTTAAATGTCCTGTTCTGAGGTTCTCGAAAGCGTTACCAAAGAAAAAGAAGCTACAAAAGAGCACTACGAAGGACTTTTAGTGAAGGAGAGACAACAGGTACTAAATGCTACAGTTCACGAAGAGTGACACTACTGAAGAATATTACTGCAGGCCGAAGCTCGCGAACATGCAATGAAAAAAGAATTCAGCACCAAATTAAATGAGCTCGAGGAGCAGTACACAAGCTTAAAAGAAGACCTAGAACATTCAGCGAAGTTGGATAGAGATGAACTGAGGGAAGTGAGTCAACGAGTGAAAAAAACTCCAAAAACTGGATTCGGAAAACTTCGTGTAAACAATATATTTCTGCTCTTCATTAAGAATACATTTCCAGTCAACTCAACATGAGATTCAAACGTTGAGGAGTGAAAAGACATTGCTTGAAGCGGAAATATCCGCTCTTAAGGAAAAATTCTTGGATGAATGCCATTCCGAGGTAAGCAGATTGTTTAACATTAAAGTAGTTCAAATAAGAGAGGTACTATTAAAAAACAAAAGTGAAAGTGTCTATAACAGTAGCTCAATAATTATTGTTAAGGATAAAGTTGTTGAGCAGTTGAGCGTCGTCTTTAGTGAAACGGCTAAACTAACGAAAACTCTTGAAGACTATCGGGAACGGATCAATAGTAAAGGTACGTCAGGTGGAATGAAAGAATATGATGAAAGAGTAATGTATTTTGGAAAAATATAGATGAGAAACTTGTACCATCATATAAAGTGACATTCAGATGAAGAAATCACCTCCTTACGCCATCGTATTGACCATGAATTATCACTTTCTGAAGAACAACTACGAGCAATCAGAGACGATCTGAGGCATGAAATTTTAGCTTCAGATGAATATCAGAGGAATTTGCTCGATATCGAACGCTTGCACTCACAAGTAAGAATCACACAACAACAACGCCATCTACCTGATCCAGTGCACTCATTTTTATAGATAACCGAATATGAAAGGAAACGTGAACAGCACGAAGAAGCCGAGAAAGAACGCATGCGAATTATCGAAGAATTACGATTGGACAACGAAAAACTTAAGGAAGTGGTTAAAAATATAGATAAGGTATTCTTTTTAAATGAAGTCTCACAGAAATGTACTTTCTATTTGTACACTTTACTAACAGTTATAAGTTTCTCTTTCCACTGAAAATATGCAAAGTACAAACGTCAGTAACTTCGAAAAATTATGTACATCTATAAATTTTGTGTGGAAAGGCTTTTTTGGTCACCAAAACACAAGCGCACTCTCATCTCGTTAATTGTGGAGTGATGCCTTATGCAGCATGGTGCCATAACATCCCTCACGCACAGAGAACGCAGGGCTCAACCCCATTCCAGGCACTTTTCCATACTTATGGGCTGTCGGGTCTGGTATTAAACGAAGCTTTGAAGTGCTCAAGGATATTTTGGTAATCACTTGGAAATTGCGGAACATTTTAGGGATAAAGGTGCATGAGAGACTATGCAAAGAGACGATAAGTACAGCCGGACATTTCACATTCCTTACTGTAAAAAAAGGATAAACCTCCCGCATTGATAAAACTTTGAGATGTGCACCATCCATTAGACTTCATTAAGCATCGTTGGAGGTGACTGAATGCATATTTGGCCTATAAAATGACTCGCGGTCGCCTACCGATGTATCGAGCCAGTGTTGTTATCCTCTCAGATAGCTCTGGAACCAATTTGCCGACTTCAGAGAGATGGAAGGCTTGGAGAGCCTGAGCACGGGGTCGAACCCATTTGTATTACAGAGCGTCTCTAACTACTGTTCTACACGCGCTCCTTTCTTAGTGTAATTCAACTTAAAACCAGAATGCCCTTTTGGCCCTTATCCTAATCCTAACTATAATATTAACACCGTGTAGTACGGTTAGTTATTATATTGCTTTCCTACCTGGTTTTCTAAAAGGTATGAAAACTACAGGCTGACCAAAACAAAGAGTTGGACTCTCTCAGAAAAATATTGGCAGAAAAAGACGAGGAACTGCGTTCGCTTCGGGAAGATGCAACAAAGTTAAAAGGTGCGTTAAATCTTCAATACGATTTTATCAGGGTTGTTACTCAAGTTTTCAGAAGAAAATGAAAAACTCAACAAAAAAAGCGAACTCACCAATTACGCTGACGAAGTGGTTAGTGAAATTCGCTTTTACACATTTTCATGCATATTTTCATATATCTTATCATTTGATTTTCAGCGTTTATATAGAACGAATCACTTTATTGAGCCATTTTATCGTGGTATTTTTTAGCTCAGAGAAGAAATGTCAACACTGCATAGCGATAGTAATGAAAAAACAAGCCAGATAGAGGCTCTACACATACGGTATATATCTTTTAACATTTTTTGAGCATTGGGGCGCATTTGAAATAGGAATCAGAGTAGATCCGGCAGTTTTGTAAGCTGTTCACACCTAGGGTAAAAGAACTGTTGAACCAGATGTGTGACATCAAGGAGGAACTGGAGAAGAAAAACCAGGGAGTTCAACAAATAGGCGACAGTACGCAAATCAAGTGAGTCGTGCATTTTGAAAAGACGGACTTTAGTTAAATAAACAAGTTTCGTGCCACTCGGAAGTGTCATTTATTTGTTATTAACCACTGACCTACACATTACTCCGATTCAGATTGGAAACATCGTCCTCAATGACGGAAGAAAAACTAAAGAATCTCAACTCGGAGTTCGAAAAAAACATCGAACGCTTGAAAGTATGTAACATTTTTGGTATTTCAGAGACATAGTTTACAATAGCTTAACTTTTTTTAGTACTTTCTTACCAATATGGTTACTATAGTACTATGCCAATGAAGTTGCTGATTTAAATCATTTTAATTGCTTTTAAATATAGGACGAGTCTATTCACTTCTTTAGAAACGTGAATTAGAGCTGACCAAACAGTTGCACGATTTGAGGGAAAGGGGTCATGACTGCAACACATCAAACGAGGAAGTCGAAAAATTGAAAAAAGAAATTTGGAAGATGGATGAGCTTATGAATCAAATGAAAGACGACCTCAAAGTGTGTTCTTCTCGATTCTTAATAATTCTTGACAACAGCGAATGATATTAGATGGATAAAGGAAGTATTTGTCCTCACAACGTCAACCAAAACATGGTGATGCATGTAGAGTAGTGGCTAAAGGTCTCTTGAAATACATACGCGCTCCCTAACTTGATCCCACATCTTATGGGAGCTGAGCCTTCCACATCTCTGAACTTGGCAAATTCGTATCACACATGCCTGGGAGGATGGGAGCAGTGATTTTATACAGAAATATGCCACCGTAGGTCACTGTGGGAGCTAGATTTGCATTCAGTCCCTTTCAGTGATGCTTATAATGTCGAGTGCATAGCACATCCTTCAGGGATTAATGAACATCGACAGCTTTATCCTTCATCCTTATCCACATAAAAGGTAGTTGTTTGATCATTTGTATCACGTGTCGTCCTATTGATTGTCGAGCGACTCGAGCGGGAGCTAGTGAACCTTCTATTTCTTCCTGTCACGTGCAAAAGTAGCCCACTGGGTTCTTCACGCACTAGGGACTCTTTCAACATCATATCTTCCTTCAGGGGTTCTTGTGAAGAACTTTGGCCGTCGAGTCGGTGGTATTACTGCTGTGCATTTAACATCCCGTAGAGCCCAGTCACTAACGGCTCTTGTCCATCGGTTGTCGTTCATACGCATTACGTGTCCAGCCCATTATCTTCGACTGTTTGGCGTACAGAACTGCGTTTTTGATTTTTCATTGTTGGAGTAGGTTGGGGATTTGGATCCCTTCCGTCACTTGTGTTGTACAGGATACATCTAGCATCATCCTTCCTACTGCACTTTCTACAACAGTGAGCGACTGTTCATCCTGTTTAGATAGCGACCAGGTTTCTGACGCATGCATTAAGACAGGAAGAATTGTGGAATCGAAAAGGTGGGCACGGAATCAGGCGTTCTGTGTTGTCTTCACCACATCCTCGATACGATATTCTCGAAAGCTCTTCAAGCAGCTCCGAAGCTAAGTCATTCGTCATGTTGACCTTCCGACCAAGATAGACATCGCTGGAACGCTCGGTGGTATTCCGTTAAGGATGGATGGGGCAGATGGAACTAAACCGTTTCTCACCAAAATTGTTTTTTTTAGGTTACTCAGAGACCAATCTTTACACAAGCGCTATCAAAGTCTGCTAACATTCGTTCTGCATAGCTAATGCTTGATATTCAAAGAACTATGTTATCACCCAGACGAAGATGAAATAATTTCCGACCATCGATCTTCACTCTCATGTTGTTTTATTCTAATGCTCCCATTGTATTCTCGAGTGTGGCAGTAAATAATTTTGGCGCAATGTATCGCCTTGTCTAACGCCGGTGCTTCTGTACTTCCGCTATAGTTCAATGAGTCTTGTTATCGTGTGGATGTGATCCATCGTACTAAATCCTTTTCGAAACCCTGTTTGCTTACATGGCTGTCCTTCGCATAGTAGTCTGCTAATGCTGTTTAGAATGACTAGAGTAAAAATCTTACAGACGACAGACAGTAAGCAGATTGGGCAATAGTAGCCGATATCTTTAAGGTTATCATTCTTGAATAGTAACAAAGTCATGCTGGTCTTCACTGAATAGGAACCTTGTATTCTGACAGATAACGTATAAAGAGCACAGCCAGTGTGTTTATGAGGACTGGTGGGAGGTTCTTTAGGTGCTCAGATTTAATACTCTCTGGATTTGGTGTTGTTCGATTCTTCACTTGGTATGCCGGATTTCGTAAGGGAGAACCGGTTAGATTGCATTTCCATCCTCCTTTATTTCGTATGAGAGCAGGAGGTCGTGATTATTGAATAGATCCCAGAAGCTGTAACTGTTCCGTCTGGGCATCGGAATGCAACCGTCTTGGTTTTCTAACTGGCGAAGCTCCGGTGGGTTTGCGAATCGTTTTCCCACCCTTTGCAGCTTCTAGCATAACTGCCCCTGTTCTCTCATTAATATCTACTTTTATCAAATGTCTCTATTGTTTTATAAGTTGTGAAGTGAGTTGGCGGTTGCCGGTAGCTCATGCGATTCCATGCTGACTTAATACCTTGAGTGTTGGTGACATGCCAACTCTCAGCATTCATAGCGCCAACGTGAAGGTGTTGAATGAGCCGATCGTATTCCTCGTCGATGTTATCAATAACGACATCTTCCCAAGAACCGACTAAAGATCCAAATGAATCCCAGTTTATGGTAGTTCTGAGATTTCGCTCTTTAAACTTAACAGATTCCCGTTCTTTCTGTGGAAAAAAATCTTGCGCGAGTGCTTGACGAGAACGCCGACGCTACCGTCTCCTCCATTGTCTCATGTTCCCAGGATCAAATCTTCTCTAGTGTTACCGACGGCGTTGAATAAGTGGCGCCTTCATGTCTAAGCTATTCCATTGACGTCGTATCGTATCGTTCTTTTCTGCATGATCAAGTACTCTACCGAGGATTCAGATGCATGTCATCGCGCATTATGTATACAGATCGTAGGTGTAGTTCATCACCTCAGTTCTCCAAGACTTAGGCGGCCTAGAAAGGCCATGAGATCTCAGCAGCTTCTCCGTACTCGTCCTACCCAACGTGCTGCCGTATAGAGGATTGATTCCAGGTCAGATCCCACTTATCTTCCTATGACTAGCGTTTATACCCACGTGTAGCTTGTTGGGCTCTGAACGTGAGGGCTAGGTATACTCACGGGTAACTTCCAGTTTCTCCCAGAGTGGACATGGCGACCCGTAATCGCCTCCCATATATTTGCAGAGTTTTGGCCGAATCGACTCGTAGAATATCATCCGCATAAACGAGAACACAGCCACGCATGCACGCATGAATACATCTTCGTAAACACAGAGGGCATGTGTCAATTCGGTACAGCGAAATAGGAATTTCATGACCTGGATCCACCTGTCTCTCAAGGAAGCATAAGTTGGCTTTTGGTCCGCGATAATCCACCTACTCTCCACCTTGGAGTGCGTCACGTTTCTTCACAACTAACCGGCATGGGGTCCAACCATGAGGGGGTCCGTGAGAATTGTTGGTAGGTAGCAAAAATAGTTAACCTGTTAAAAACGAATATTTAGGAAAACAAAATAACCAGCTGGTGGAGTTTGGAGTTTAGAATGAGCTCTTTAGGTGAAGCAAAAACTTCTGGCTGATAAAGAGCTGAGGCTGCTTAATAAGAAGGAAGAGATCAGCTCACGCGAGGAAGCATTGAAGGAGAGTGCAGTGAAACACTGTGAAGAGTTCATGGCAATACAAGATAGAATTGCAGCCACGAAAGTCAACAAAGCGGTGCATGAAAAGTGATGACAATTTCTGAAAACTTTTCATAAGGAAAACTTATTTTAGCGACTATAGAAAGGACAAGGGTTTGGCGAAAATCGTAATTAGTTTCAGGCCAGATACTACGTGCAGTGAAATTCAGACTGATCCTATTAGATCACAATCACCTGTTTCAGTCGCTAATTTAGTGAAAGTGAATGAGCTGAAGTCACGAATAGTTGAACTGGAGCAAGCATTAGAGGTAATAATGATTTGCTCTCAGTTGATCGAAACAACAACCAGAAACAATGGAAAAGCTGAGCGTATTTGATACTGCACTCTAACCGTTGTTAGGAGCGCCATTGAATTATAACCTTAGGCACTCAGTTATATTTAGCACTGTTTCAAAAGTTTTTCCTTTATTAGGAATCTAGGTATCCAAAAGCTATCGGATTCTATGTATTAGTTCTTGAATCAATTTGTACAGCAGTGCTACAGTGCTAACGAGTATCTTTGACGACTTCCTCACTATTTTTCCAAGCACGTAATAAATTTCAGTTCACTTTTTTCAGCTTAACTTTCCATTCAACGTTTTTAGAGAAGCAACTAGATACTAAGTGTGTTCAGGGAAAATACCCACAATCGATTATAAATGGGAAACAGTGGCTATGCAGTACAATGACCAAGCTCTTATTGTTTCAGATAAAAAACGATCTCATTGAAAAACTTCATGAACAGATGCCTCAGACATCTAGAGAGGACATGGTGAAAAGAAAAGATAGATCGGTAGGTCCTATCATTTTATGGACTAGCTACGCATAATGGCTTGCTTATTCCCTATTGTTAAGCGTGCATGTCAGTAGAATTATCTCAAACACTCTGCTTTGTCATCCATTTCTATTCGACACATTCTGAAATTAATCGTTATGATTCTAAAAATATCAGCCTTTTAGCAAAGCATGACAACTGGTGGTGTATTTCAAAACTTCGTAAGTCAAATGAAGGATAAGCGTGACGAAACAAATGAACAACGCACCAAAAAAAAGGAAGAGAAAAGAGCCGAAAAAGCGGGAAAAGAGGCTGCTATAGAGTCAGTTGATTTCTTTGGTTCAATTTTTGTTTTTCCTTCCACCATCTGCTAAAGCATTTTGTGAAACGACGTGAGTACTTCACAGGATTACCAAAGAGAAATCACCATTGCACTCCAAGTCGCCATCACTTCTGACACGATTTCGAGATCGTAGTCCAAACAAGACGCACACACCAGTCGACAATCTTGAGACCACACCGTCAATGTCGAGCAGGTGAGAACAAAAGCTCGCATTTCATTGGTGAGCCTAACGAAGAGCAGAGACATTGGGGAATTCCCGTCGCGAGAATAGATATCACACTAACTCTTTAGTGGAACATAATGTTCTCAAGTCTTTCCTATAATCTCCATCCATTCACAAATCTATGGTTTTACACATCAATTACGATGTGCATGTTCTTCCCCACACTCCTTAGTTAAGCGAGACCGCAACCTTTAAAAGTTTTTATCCTGTAGAACAGAAAGTTGGCTGGTCACATGATACATTCCTACGAAAAATATTTCACTCAATTAAAAGGTAGGAAACGTTCTAATCATGGTGATTTGGCTCTTAGAAATGAAATGTCCAATCCAGTGGAATCGTGATTTTCAAGCAAGTTAATAACTGCGAATAACTTATAACTATTACACATTCATAACCACCCGCTCAATTCAACTGGTGCTAGTGGTTAGTGAATAAATTTATAGCTAGTCCAGTATAGCATAGCAGTCTATCAATGTCTACGTACTAGAGTACGAAAACTAGTTGATTTTGGTGCTCCTTCAATAAAAGCAAGTTTAGGAACCTTTTATCGCCAAGCGACGCTGAAAGAAGAAGCTCACCGTCACGACCACTATTTAGCAGATATCGTAAAGAACCAAGGGATGCGGAGAAAAGACCAGCTTGGAAATTCTAAGCGTGGACTACAAATAGTCACAATTTTTTTGATATTCATAAATTAAGATTGAGGGCGAGCGTACGCAACAATCCACCTAAAACAGGGGAAGAATGTCTACTATTGTATGCGATCTTCCTGACATCTGGGCCTTCACTCGGACCTAGGAACAGCGACCACTTTTTCATGACGACATTGCCACTTATTCTCTGTGTGTATACGTCTAGCTTATTGCTGTGTTGATTACCATCAGAGGTGATATCATTATCACCTTATGTCACGATAAAACTTTATTCAGTATTTGTGGACGTGAACAAGAAAGGAAGAACAACAATGTCATTCGTTCGTGTATTAAGTAGGTCTTACCAATATAGATAATACTGATGATTACAATTAAACGGAAGTGGCCATGTCACTTTTAATCTATGGGCACCACTACAAGGCTTCTGTTAGTGCATTCTCTACAATTTTCTGAAATAAATATTATTTCTGATTGGTATCATAAACAAGACACACTAAATCAGCAAATATACTGGAACGACCCATCAAAGTACAGTCTTGAGATTTAGAAACTATAATCAAACAGTAAAGTTGGTAATAAACTAACAAACACTATAATAACAAACTACTGTGTTGGACCAACACAAAAAAACGCACAAGAGATGGGAGCGATCATTTAGTACCAGTTGAGTATTAATGAATTGAGAAAGAGCAATAATGACTAGAGCAAATTGCAAGAGGAAGAAATAGATTATTAAAAGCAGTTTGTAGAATAAAGCACATTGAAAGACTGATGGCGGTGTTTGGAAGTGGATAAAGAGCACGAAAGCTCATTGCCTAGGTGCCGGACTTCTATGTGCGCTTCGACGCTTTCTTTTCCCATCACGCTGAAATCTGCCGACAATCACGTAGCACTGACGATAATGAACATCAGTGATCATTCAGTTTTACGAAACTTGAAACAGAAACACAAACATCAGATCACAAAATGTAGATGAGCAACTCATGAATGTCATTTTATGGGACAGGTTAACTGTAACAGCGTGAAGTGTAAAAATGTGAAACAACGTCTAGGAGATGAAAAGTACATTGAGAAGTATGTGGAAGCAACAACAATATAACTGATTAGTGAGATCATAAGCAGAAACCTAAAAAACCACCAGTGACAATAAGCCAGACGAAGGTCACTGTTAAATTACTTAAATAACTACTAGATTAGTTGCCACTGTTACAGATCATATGAGGACATGGTTTAAAATAAAACGAACTGAGTTTTGAACCCGCAAATGAGTTTACAAAAGATGACGACATCAACGACGGACGAGCACTCGAGTATAACGTGAGCAACACTGATCAGCATAAACGTGAAGTAACTAATTCTGATTGTTATTTGACAAGGTTAATGACAACATGCAAAAAAAATTAGTTAGTGGAAGCTGGCGCAATTACCGAATGGTGTGATTGAGCTGGTGTGCGGTAGTCGGCTACCAGAACAGCAAAGTGTTTCTCCAAAACCTCAAAAAACATTTGTCAATTATTCGCGTCTATAAGGACATTAGAAAAGAACTGTTTGAAAAGAATAGTCGAAATAATAAAAGCGATTACGTTGTGAAGGTGAAGTGCTCTAGATCTTTCATTCCAAAAACATCGACTGACTAATGATATTTCCAATGGTTGAAACAACGAAACTTCATTACCAGAAATTAGAAAAAGAAGCAAACCATTGTCTGAAGACGGGAAAACAGACGAACTCACCTGTCTACCGTGTTGATCCTGTGGACTTATCTGGAGAGAGAGAGCAAAAGCTTGTGAATCGAACGTGTCATCCTGGGCGATTAAAGCGCCATGTACCCCGCTATCAGTAAGGTTACTGGCATACGCTCCTAGTCCTATTTCTTCCACCCATCGTTGCACTCGTTCATTTGACCAAACCAAAAGATCTTTAACAAAACCTATATAATATACATATAGATAACTGAGAAATATGTAGCCAGAATTGAGAGTGGTTAAATCTTTGATCTTAAGAAGCTTGCCTCGATTCACCGTCTCGCATGCTCGTCGTCGGTCCTGCAGCGTTCTACGGTCGTAGTTCATCTTCTTTAGACACATAATTCCGTATTGCAAGCTAGCTCTATGGAAACTATCGACCATACGTAAATGCGTTCGCAGATCACGTTTTGATAAATGCTCCAACATTCGCGCATCCAGCAGACACTCCATAAATGCAGACCTTAAAACTGTCAGTAAGATTTGACGGTGATGTAGTGATGTGAAGGGTACAGTCATTAAAAGAAATGGAAATGTGTAATAATCACAGATCTTTGTTGCCGCAAACAATTTTCGTGTCTAAAGAGATGCATCCCTTTCTGAACAGATAATCCACCTTACTATCTCACAAAACTATAAACTATATGTATTCTTTCTTTGATGAGCTTACACGAGGTTGATAATGATGTTTATTTTCGTCTAACGTTTCGACCCCTTCGTCTTCCTCAGAGCCGATGATCCGAGTCGATGGTCCTCGCTTGTTATTCGCCTCGACGTGGCAGCTTCGCCTTCGTGTCGAGTTAGGTTTTCTTCAGTGAGCCATCTTCTCGAATGAGGCATCCTTACTCAGTGATGCCCTTTTATACACGACGCTGATGGTCGATATAATGATAATGTCCGGTGATAACAACTTGTTTTTCTTCCGGACATACATCATTGCGCACGTCGTGCAGAAGTCGGTGTTGTTATCAACTAGCACAAATCGTAGTAATATTTCGAAACCGACTTTCCCTGAACCTCGGTATCACTAATCAATATGTATTCTTTGATGAGCTTACACGAGGTTGATAAAACTATGGGTTGAAACTATAAACTATGTCATCCGAAGATATGCACTGATTTCAACTTGAATACGGAGATGATTCAGGTCTCCAAACATTAATCAAATGTATCTCAGCTTACATTGAGCTTCACAAACTTAAATAAGAATCGGTAACCATGCTCTCTTCTGTTCACAAGGGACAAGTGTGTTTTTGAACATAACAACAACTGATTTGACACTTCTCTTTCCTGTTAAGGCTCCCAGCTCCAGTGGAGAAGCGATAAGATTTCGTAGCAGGAAGCCGTTTTGTTTCCAAACACCTCGCTGATTTTGTCTCTGTTGTGCGTCCGCCAAAATATTAAGAAATATTAAATTTCGCGTTGAATGAATCGGTACTGGAATCTTATTTGCCTGCGATCAGCTCAGTTCCTTTAATGTAAGAAAGCTGGCGACGGCCTGTGATGAAATGAAACGTCTTAGCACGGCTATCTCGAAATTCAAAACAGAATGAACTCGATTAGTACGTGAAGACATTTATGAAGAAGATGAAGAATCCTCAAACAGTTACCTAACACACACAAAAAATCGAAGACCTTCATGGAAGACGAATACCAGAAAACGAATCGAATGGAAAAACTGCTGGGATCTGCACAACATATGATGTCGGATCTCGTTAAATAAAATGAAGCAAAAAAATAGAACGAAACAAGACGAAATAAAACAAAACAAAGAGTAAATCCCACTTACAGTTATGTATATGTATGTACGCACATATATATATATATATATATATATATATAGTGAAAATGCATATACACATACTTAAATATAAACGTATATACACGCATGTATATGCATATATGCATACATATGTACATGTACACAAACACATACATGTTCATATATATACATACATATACACATATATATATATGTATATATTTAATGAGCAAGCAAACCACTGTGACATGCAGTGAAAGAGTATTCCTACACATACCGATACTGTCCAAGACCTAAACTCGGTAGCCATTCGTTTCCTATCCACTCGTGATTCATGTCACCAAAAGCTAATGTCATTCGAGCACATCGTGGAGCAGACGGAGACGTCAACGAGACCATTTCCTTTAGTGGGAAGAACGTATAATTATTGCCAAATTGAAAACAATCGGAAATGCTGGAAATTTCATTAGTTTAAAAGAACAACCTGTATGGCCAATCGAAGTTTCAGCCTATGAAGAGGATTGCTAATTCCGATTTCTCGTTGAATTTCTTGATCACTTAGAGCAGACATAATAGCACCAGACTACGAAAAAGTATTGTGCGAAAAAATAACGGTGAAGCGAACTCAAAGCAATAAAAATTAGGTAAAATCTGTATATTTACCTTGACATTGGCTCGACATGCCGCAACATACCACGCCGGCATTCCTACCCATAACTCAAGCCAAGCAACCACGGTCGGTCCATTCCATAACGCAAATGGAGTTCGTGCTTTCATTGCCTGGAATCGATATCCAGTTGAATAAAAAGGAAAGATAAAACAAACTCATTTCCCATTGTGACTGAGAAAGTAATGTTGGTGGACTTCAACCTAATGCATTTCACCAATATTGAATCGTAAAATTGAACTTTTGAACTATTCTCAATAACAATACAAAGCATGGTTGACTGTTTGCTCTCGCCCAAGGCCAATTAAACACCGCATTTTCCCTGGCATGGCAAATTACAGCTAGAATTGCGTGGGAAACGCTCCCTCTGATCCACATAGCATAGCTACGGCATGTGGTTAAGACCTTAGGGCAGAGCTATCTCAAAACTAGAGGAAGAATAAATTTGGTCAGCATTTAACAACACTCTGAGCAAGTTGACGTTCTCGAAGAGACCCACGCAAACAATACAAATGCCTTGATGACCGATGCAAAACAATGAACCCAATGAAAGAACTGTTGGAAGTCACAAAAGATGCAAACTTCTTTCAAATGTTATTTCAAGCGCTTATACCCCCACCTCTAATTATGAAGATAGGTAATTGACGAGATAGAACCTACATACTCTATGTGGATCAGGAAAATTTCAAACCAATACTGAATCTAAAATGTCAACCACAGCCAAACATGGCAAAGAGCGGTTGGAAAGTCAGCTGTACTTGTAACTCAAATGATGAACAGCATAATGACTGATTGGAAAGGTTGAACTTGTAGCTTTTAATTTATTTCCTCTAAATTTAAGACCTCCTTCCAACGATTTACCGCCTCGCCCTGGCTGGGAGGTGTTTCTGGGTGTCGGACTGCGATGTAAAGCGGAGGATTCATCCCCCTCCCAGGGTCTTCCATGCTGAGGAGACCGACGCTTCCATCGGGAATCCTAGCGAAGAGCAAACCAATATCAGATCCACCACCGTCCTGGTGTCAAACTATTCACATGGCGGGAAATCTCCCTCTGATCCATAAGGGCGGAGATTACCTATGGTGGTGACGACCTGGAGCAGACTTTGGCCAGGATGACCTCGCGACTCCCAGGGAACCACAATGGCGAAGCAAGCAAAACTCCGATGGGACAGAGACTGTGCTGGGGCCCGCACAATCAGTGAGGATGCGCCATCCAATTATCCAAGTAGGCATTTGAGATCTCAACATAGTCAACGATTTCCACTCAACAATAAATTTAGAAGTGAAGTAATGCTAGGAATTATGAACGTGTCCTGGAAGCCTAGTCGCAAACATTCTTCATCCACAAAAGTATTAATTATGTAACATTACCATCTGAAAACGCTCCGCAATACCTGCTTCCTACAGATACACCAGAATTTGGAAGAATATGCACGAAAACTCCAAAATACCGAACATAATACTTATCATAATGATTTCTCGCTAAGATATTATACAGGAGACTTCAATAGCTATTCGAGCCAATACTCATTAAATTTGAGGTCAGACCATATACAAAGAAAGCCGGTGACCGCTTTACTTTTACATCTATAACAACGGGACGACGTCTTAACCATGAACTTGACATTAATCAAAACTGATGGTTGCACCAACTGCCATGTGGTGATCAAACAGGATGTGGTGAGACCAATATGAGCGAGATCAGTAAGAAATAATATTCCTGTAACCCGTAAAAAATGTCACATCACTGTATCTTGGACTTTCGAGAACGGAAACATACAGTCCTCAATTCTCACATTTACTTGGAAACTTGGACGGCTTCTCACTGAATGTGCGGACCCCAAGCATATTCTCGACTTTTGGGATTTTTGTTGGTTTAGCCACTGTTTCCCTGAAGTCCCGAGGACAGCCTGGCCAAAGTATGCCCCAGGTCGTTATCACCACAAGCAGATGCCACCCTTGTGGATCAGGGGAAGATGTGCCACCATGCGATTAGTTTGATACCAGGACGGTGGCAGATCCTAGTATTGGATGACAGTACCAGAATCCACCACCATTGGGCATCCAATACCGGATCCACCACCAATATTTTGCATAAAAATACAAAACGAAAATGCAAAAACACTCGATTTTTTAGACACATTTTATTAAACATACCTCTTCTAGCAATTCATATTTCTTCTTTTTCCTTCTATCGAATTCACCATTACGACCGTCACCACCGGAAGAAATCTCGCTATCTGAGTACGCACCCGCATCTCTTCTTAAAAAACCTGTACATTTTAGTCTATATTCAATAAAGCGCAGTGCTAAACTGAGCATTCACAAACCTATACACGTCACTCTGAAATTTCTTTTTATTAAACAATCGTCCTAACGTTTTTAAACCACCAGAACTCGACGACCGCTTCTTTTTAGGTACAAACCCGTCAGTAGATGACGCCACCGACGAAGCAGGACTCATTCGATCAGCCTCGTCGTAACGACTCTTGAACAGTTTTTTCAGAACTCGCGAATTAATGTAACAGAGTGTAGTAATTGCAAAATCAACCTGCAGTTGCTGATGTACATGATCCAGACGTAGTTGGCGCATCCTTGGTGTATAGTCAAGATCATTTACCATTGAATCATCAACAATCTGAAGGTCACTGAGTAATGATCGATGGGCTAACTCTGTTTAAGACAACCAAAATAAAACACAAATTTACCGCATGACCATATGTGTCCACATTTCGATTCGTCTGTGACGTTGAAGCGTTCGCCGGTAACTAAAAATAAACTAACAAACGAAATGAACAGTCACAACTTTGCCGAGATATTTGCAAAACTCTGGACCGCAGGTGTCTATGGTGGAGAACGAACGCGCTGTTGTCCTTTCCGGGGAGCAACGCGTTCACCACGACACCATACGGATCCTTCGCTGCGCCTGTCGCTCAGCTAGTTCTATCGATATTTTGCCATCAACAATCACCCATCGGCGGGATTGATCGGTGGAGCCGAAATCGGTAACGAATCCAGTTAAGCTGAGGCTGTAGTTGAAATCACAATGTATAACAATATTTCGCTTAGTACCCTGTCGTGAAAATTGTAGTAAGCAGAAATAAAAGGTAAAACAAATAAACAGTATCAAAAATTTCTACAAACGTCCATAAACTACGGGGTACGGCCACACAATTACTGCCTTGATGTATCACCCATGTCAACTTCCCACAGAAATCACTGCATGAAAGAAATCGCAAGTGAAATATTAACAGAAATTTGCATGCATGAATCGGGAAACTAACTGTGTTATATTTGTTGATAAGGAAATCGTGTTGAGGGCTATTGCGAGGTGTACTACGAGAAGTGAGGTGATCTTCTATGTACTCATTCCTCGCCCGAGATTCTAGGTGTTCTGCAGCTCGTTCAGCGTGGTGCTTTTCCTGTTGGATCATTCTGAAAAGCCGTAGTGTATTGTGAACGTTCCGGACACGGACAGTTCATTACTATGCAACGCTTAAAATCACGCAATGCGAAGCCTTAGGAATGCGCCCAATAAAAATTGGTAGTTCACTTTCATCTCTGCCACTACAATAAGGAATAAAACATTGCTCGAAAAACTAAGTCAAGCATAACCGGTGCATTCTAACACAAAGCTTACCGAATTTCAGAGTTTATAGCGTCTAGACGCTCTTGAAGCACAGAAGCGAGCAAATGTGCGTCTTGTGACCCCTAACAAAACAGAAGTTTGAAAAAGAACGTGCAGAAAAGAATACAGTAGAACATAGAATTCGTCACATGTTGAGGCATGGTGCTCATGAGAATATCTGGCTGTTGTGAAGGCTGTTTCATGAACGATGCTCGCTGTAGTGTACCTCCTCCGCCCATATCCAGCATTGACGAAGATGAAAAAGCCTGTAAATTGGGCGCAGTCAGAAGCTCACAACTTCGGGCTGTTGGACGAGGCATATTTAGAACAATGGCAGAACCCAATAATTTGATTTCATACTGGATAATATAGAACGAACCAGAAATGAATAAAATCAAACGTACAACATAAAAATATGCGGTGCGAAAGTCTACGTGGGCAATTATATCTATGCTAGGTAAGCAGATAATCGCTACCCAAAATAATTGCTGTCACTCACTGACCTGCTGTACGTTGGCTAGAACATGCGCTTGTTGTAATCTGTCCCATTCCTGCTCATTGAGTGTTTGAACTTTAGATGGATCGTCCTAAATTTGATAGAACATTTACAAGGCTCTGATGGTAGAAATGGCACAAAAAAAAATAAAGTGACAACTACATATATAACCAACATTTATAAGATTACTTGAATATTGCCAAACAGGATCTGAACGGTATACTGCTCAAAGCCACAAGATAAGTACACAAATGATGACGCCATCTTTCACGGAATATAGAGATGAAGCAAAGTAAAATCAGTTATTGCAGAAAGAACTATGAAACAGCCATACTTGTAATGCACTCATTCGCCCTTTATTCGATCTGCGGACTCCAACAGTGGCGTAGTTAGGTGTTGGATTAGTGTACGACGCAGGTGGAAACTGTTGAGGAACGACGGCTTGTGGTGATGCGGCAGTGATTCCATTTGGAACCACCAGTGGTAGCGGCGGCGGAAGTACAGCATGCATTCTGAAGAGCGAACAAAGTCTTAAAATATACATTTCCATTCAAACGAAAATGTTAAACTTCCCAGGATCGACTTTCTATTAACCTCGGCATTGAAATACAAATGCGTCGGTTTCTTTTCAGCAATCGCGAGGTTGTTATATAGCACACGTTTACCGTACACATAGGACACATAGAACACAACGGTACCTGATCAGTGGGCAGTATCGCCTCCTCCAGAGTCCTTTTTATGTGTCTTCCAATGTGGAAAAAAATAAACAGCTGTTCATTTCCTTCAGAAACATCTCCAACCACTAATGATGGGTCATTTTATATTGGGATGAACTTAATAATAATTTTTGCTACTGGAAATAACGGTCACTTAAACGAGTTCATTTTTTCATCCAAACTCTTTGGAGAAAGGTAATCAGCTTTTCTTCCTCAGTGGAAGAACACGTAAAAACGGCTCTGAAGAAAGTGGTACTGCCAAAACGTCAGCCACTGTTGTACTGCATGCGTTTTTGCACGGAAGTAAACGTATGCTGTATAGCAACCTCGCGACTACTGAAAAAAACGACACATGAAAATGTAAACTTCTCGGTATCACAATATTTTAACTTTTATTTTTTGCCTATTCACTGTAGGGTACGATGTGAAGTACAATCATAAGGATACCCAGATATCAACAAACTTCGGAACCTTATTTGGGCTTCGAACCAACGAAGGGCTATTTAAAATTTACCCAGTTAACCCAGATTATTCATGTTGACGAGTGAGTGCTGATAGCATCGACAAAGGAAAGATATGGTCAACAGAATGGCAAAGCAACGGCCTCGGTTGGCGAGGTGGAAAGCCGTGAACTCCCGGCAATGGTAATCGCAGGCTCGAAGCACATCTGAGGTTCCCAGTTTTCTGATAACTCAGAATCCTTACTGCATATCACTTGTACCACACGATATCGTCATTATTGAGATCCATTTGTTCTTTTAAAAGGGCTGACTATACACAGGTCGAGTTCTCTCGGAATACTGTAAGGGCTAGTTCATTTTAGGCGACCCCAAACCGATTCCCATATGCTCCTAAGTCCTTTGCTTGCTATGCTTTGAAGAAATATACTTAAAATACACAATCCGTATAGTGCGACCACACCTGCTTACGTATGAATAAATCTGATTATGTGCACGATGTAGATATACTAAATAAACTCAGCAGAGATGGCAGGCACTTCTTCATAGGTTAATCAAGTTTCAACAGGTATTTTTAAAGCGGTATATCTCAGTGAGCAAATAATACCCGCCACTAGCAAATGCTTAACATACTACCCAACATCAGGAAACGTGCCCCACGTAGCCACGCAATTGATTGTCTCGAGATCCTCATATGAGGCAAATAGGGTAAGCAGTACAATAAATACAAAAGAGTAATAAAACCACTACATAAGTTGCATAAATGTAACAGCAGGTTACAAGTAAGGAATGTCAACATAAGAAACCTATGACGAGAATCCTTAAAAAAAAGCACCTCGAATGGAATTGTGCAGTTCGAGTGTTGTAAAGTTGTTGACGAAGAGCCTCGATTTCTTGCCGAAGAGAATCATTGTCACGTTGCAAGCGTTCCTTTGTTCGCTCGGCCTACAGATCATCAAAATTAGGTTAACCCGCATTCTGCTTACTCACATGAAGTAGATAAATAACATGGCTGGTATGAATGGCTAATTGAACAAAGAGACATAACGAAATAGTACCTACCTGGTCGTATATTTTCTTCGTATTCTCCAGCTGCTGTGTGAGTCGATTTTTGTCATCTAGTGCTTGCATGCGTTCTTTAAGGTGCAGCTGTAAGCGGTCGTTCGACTCGGACAGAAGCTGAAACTGGTTTTCGTGAGCATCATTTGAAAATTCCCTACACAACGAAAAACCGACCTTGTCGACAGTGCTACTTAACCGCTGGCTGTGCTCCTCATTCATTTTCTCTCTCTGAACGGCTCGCTCTAATTCTGCCGACGACTCAAGCGCTTGCCGCTCCAGCCGTTGAACTCTCTCTTCGGCGGAGAGTTGTTTCTGTAAATATCCTCTTCACAGCCCTTAGAACGAGAAAATTGCTTTGACATAGCTAGTGCTGAGAGCAATACCGAAAAATCTATGACAATAAGACTCAAAATGATAACTTCCTATCCTTGACTAAATATAACCTTCTTGTGCACAGATAAGAGATAGAGGTAGTGCTAACGAACTGAATGATCCATTAACTAAATAAATTCCACCCATGTACAAATTTGGAAGCTTTTTTGTGCGAATAAGAGAGTGACCAGCTTTGTTTGTGAACTGATCGGTGCTAAGCTGTCCTAAGAGTGCATTTGAAAACGAACTGCGATAAAAAGGAATAGATGAAAAAAATAAATACATAAATAGGCTACAATATCCAAGCATATTAACGTTGCCTTACATCCAAACCAACACTATTGTATACTAACACAAAGCGAAGCCGACCCAAAACGTCTAAGAGAAGAAATACACCAACCTGTTCCGCAGCAGAAAGCGCCTCCATCCGCTGTTGTAATTCGGCTTCAACAGATGGCAACGACTCAGCCTTCTTAAGACTCTGGGCAAGTTGTTTTTCTGCAAGTTCCAGACGTTCCTGCAGTGAACGCACTTTCTCCTCGCTTAGACGTACAGCCGCATCTTTATTAGCGAGCTGAAAACCTTCGATTTTAACAACAATAAAAAAATTATCATGACGTTATTCAACGCCTTGAAAATGAACAATACGTTCGCCTTAGCCCATTTTCGACAATGCCTGGTTTTTACGCAGAGGAAGCCGGATTAGGTCTAACCACTCGGCTTGCCTGTCGTAAGCCGCGCGTGACTAATACTTCCGCAACAAATAACGAAGCTTCTTTCGTTGTATTTTTCGTTCTAAATTTTGGTATTTGGATGAACTTTGTTGGTAATTCCTTTTTCCTTTTGTTTTATACGTTTCATCTATGTTCTACGCATGTTCCCATACTTTTGGAGCATTTCAACCCTTTCGTACGATGAAAAGACGCTCACGATCCAACAACACTACTGTCAGACGTTGGTTCGTCTTTGTAAAGCATTCGAAGGAAATTTCAGTCTCATGACGTTTTTCATATTCGCCAATCCTATGCAAGTTCGACTCACGGAAGACGAATTGCACTTCACTGTCGATGGAATCCTCAACGTAGGTGAAACAGAGCACAATGAAAACGCTTGGAATGGTAAGAAAGCTTTAGTGTGTTTTGAAGAAGACTGAGAATCAAGTGGATTGGACGATGTGGCTGAAGGTGTTGATGATGGGTCAACGATGAATGGTGAAGTAATGTTATGCTTCATAGTCCTAAGAGTTTCAGTGACAGTCAACAACCACTGCCTTTTTAATTAATTACTTGCGAAAGTTTATTCAAAACTTTCCTGTAATGGAGACCAAGATCAAACCATCAATTTGGGACCTTACTGTAATCCACAGGAGCAGGTAGCGTCAACAGAACGAGAAATGGCGGATACCGAAAACTGCATGAAAGATGGAATGATTTATCGAATTCTTTAGACACGAAAATCGTCAGAATTCATTAGACGGATTATTTCAATACTGGCTCCGATTATTGGAAAGGTCCCACTGAAGCCAATTTCATAGCCACAGAGATTTAAAAAGCTGTTAACTTATCTTCATTTAGCCTTCAGTTTTGCCAATGACAGAAAAGACAACTTTTACAGTATCGCGCTGCGTGTCAAACTTTTCAGTCGAAACTCAAGAAGAATCCATCTGTGACGATGAGACTGTCGTACTGCTTAAATGAACAGTCGTATTACGCGATATATACCACACAAGAAGTACACGTAAGTTATTCAAACTATACAAAAGAGGATATTTCAGAGAGACTTACGGTGCAAAGCGGCAAAAACCCCTCTAAATACGGTAAAATAACTGATTCACTTGTGATTAGCCTCATAGACAATCTATTGGATCAAGGAAAAAGGATCGATAACCAGCACACACTTTTCTCGTTAGATAACATATTCCTCCAAAGAAAGAAAGATGCAATTGCCTCCTTCGGGAGGAACAGCAAAATACCTACGGAAGTCACCCAGCAGAATTTGAAGATAGGACGGATGATTTTGCAAAAAAACCGAAGTACTTTGGTGGTGCTTAACGGGAAGAATAAAGGCGATATAATTAGGCACAATTTTACTACTATATGGTTTAAGTCCACCAATTAGTTCTACCGCACTTCTGGTCCACGTGGTCACTAATGTATCCATGGTGAACACTTGATAGATCTATGAGTATGCAGCTAATTGGGATTTCAAGACGGATGTGCACCGAAGTGTTCTTTATATCACTAGCGTTACACATCTTATAACCTGGTTCTTGAAAAAAACCGTAGAGCATCCGCGGAACGGAGGTCGTCTGTGGGCCGTTATAAAGTAGCAAAACATGACAACTTTAGATCTTCTAAAACGCGTGACAAACAAGTCAATTGCTTTGATGATAGCATATCGGAAGTGTATACTGTAAAAACTACAGATTGTAAAAATTTGAAATCGTCAGTAAACTAAATAGCAAAGATTGTAAGTTGTAAAAAGAATTCTTGTAACTACAATGCTTATAACATTTGCACTCTGTGAAAGAACAGCTCTTTCACAAACGTTCAGTTTTGGTAACACCAAGCGCACATACATCGTGAATGGTTTGCCACACTATCGCGATAAAAAGATATCTTTAAGTGCAAAATTTTAGTGTGCAACTACAACGGAAACACTGCTGTATATTCCTCAAAAGCTGTAATCTATGTGGTGGATAGTGGGTGTACTTCAGCGGCAAATATCTCTTACAAAGTTTTCATAAAATATTAATTATAAACGCTTGGTCAACCACGACTGACACTAAAATCTGTAGTAACTCCCAAGTCCGACTTTCTATTAACCTCGGCATTGATTGAATATATCTTTCTACTTCCGTTCAACAAACACGAGGTGCTATTTTATTTCTTTATTTACGCACAAGCTGACGTTTCGGCGGATTTCGCCTTCCTCAGAGCCTGGAAGGGTCAAGTTTTTTTCTTCAAAGAAGGCGAAATCCGCCGAAACGTCAGCTTGTGCATAAATAAAGAACTAAAATCTGTGTTGAATACGTTATCGATCAAGCGCAAAAAGATAGTAGTACAACCCTGTGTGGTGAAATAAACAGCCAGAAACAATGTTAACACATGATTCACAGGTAACAAAACATTAACTAAACTATCAAACAATAAGCAGAAATCAAAACACAAAGCGATTGGACTTAAAAAGGAAGAAATTAGAAACTACACTGCTTAGAGGATAAAAGGACAAAACTTTCAGACTTTACCTATCCCAATGGAATAAACCATGCATTCGAATTTCTTACAGATGATTGAACGCCTATTTGGTACGAAGATCTACTTAGCGGGAATTAGCGATATAGTAAGTCAGTGTTTGTACACCACCAGTCAGGTACCAACCTGCTGACCTCAAAGGGATGGTAAGATAGGTTAGCTCGGTGCAATGGAGAGAAGCAACGAGCACAGCTTTAAACATTGCGCTATGCGCGTCCATTAAGATAGTGTTTAGAGACTGTTTAGTAGTGAACAAATAAATGACCTGATGCTCTAACTTGTCGTTCAGATCGCGTATACACGTCGCTTCCCTCTGTGCAGCAAGTATGCGACTTTCAAGCGTTGAAATCCGAGCTTCTTGGTCGTTACGTTGTGCTTCCACCTGCAACAAAAATGAGTGTTCTTATCCAATATTAACACGTGAGCCAATGGCTTAGTGTCTCGAAAGCTGAACAGCTTGCAGATTTGCAGTATTTGTACGGAAAAGTCCTCATTAAAGGCTATTCGATCTAAGAGTACTTAGGGAAAAACCGAATGTTGTTTAACCACGGCAAAAACAATAACTATCTTAGCAGATCAATAAGCTTAAAAGAAGTTGCTAAAAATTTCTCTGCAGCTACAGCTTCGTGATCGCTACGATGTACTATTTCGCTCAATTCGATTCGACTACGAAAGTCATCGGAAAAATATAACTTAAAAGAGGGAGAATCTTGTGGTGTTGAAGTATTACCAAAAATAAAGCTTTAACAATCTCGTGGAACATTACCTACAAACCGAAATACTGTTATAAGGATATATATATGCATATATATATATATATATATATATATATATATATATACGGAGTTTAACAACAGCTTACAATACCCGTCATTACATCTACTGCGTGGATCCCAGCACTTCTTGCCTTCCATTCCTTTTCTTCGCATTCACTGTCTACAAACGTCTTCGAACACTTCAAGCGTTGTTTAGGCTGCAACTTAAGGATTTTATCTTTTTTATGAATGTCGCAGAATGCCGGTCGAGTCGATCCTCCTTGCAGTCTTGGAGGTAGCTCAACTAAGCCGTTCCCCACATGAATTGGGGAAGCATTGGGGAGGGGAGGGGATAGAACCAGTACCTTCATTCCTGGTGGATTGTACCATTGATAACTAAACCACCCTCATATATATATATATATATATACGCATATATATACATATATTACATATATACATATGTGTACATATGCATACGTACACGCATACATACATATATCATATAAATATATGTATGGTAAATTCATAGCAGTAGAATAAATATAAACCTCTACCTTGTTGGTAACGATGAGTCTAGTGAGAGTTCAACTACGAAGACTCAGCTTCAACCAGGAAATGCTGGTTTTCAGATTACCGCATAAAAGCCTTCGATAAATGGAGTACTTAAAAACTTTTGGACTTCATAAATTTACTGAGGATACATTTTCCTAATTCTCTAATCGTATACTTCCACAGACTTACAGAAAATAGCACATCTTTCTGATTTAATGAAAGCCCCACGGTACTTCAGTTTTTGGATCGCCCACCCTACATACAAATTCGTGGACATCATTAGGTCGTGGACAAACTTTTTCTTCTTCTAAAAAAAAGGAAAAAAATATCCTCGGAAACACATTAATCATAGAGCATTCGCACTGTTATGGATGTGTGAAAACCAAACGCGTTTTTGGAAAAGTCGACAGCAGCACATATACAGTATCAAGGAAAAAATGAAAAAAAAACTCGTAATCAAATTTAACCGCCATATAAAAGTAATGAAAAAACACTTATGTAAAGGAAGGAACAAAGGAAGCACTACTAAAGCGAGATAAACGAACCTCATGCAGCTGGTTTCTCAACTTTGTTTGCTGTTCTTGGCAAGCGTGTGTATCATTCTGTGCGGCCGATAACTGAGCTTCCAGCTCAGAATTTCTAAAATATACAGGAACGAACAAGGGTTGTGAATTAAAACACGTGTGGATAATTTCTATTCTTACCTTTCAGTCAGTTCATGACGTTGTTTGAGGGTATTTGTCAATTCTACTTTCAAACGCTCACACAACTCCTGCATTTCTACCATGCGAGCAGCTGATTCACTGCTCAGTGCACCATTCGTCTTCTGACCTTTCACCTTCAACCAAGAAAAATTCAAAACTAAGGAAGCGGTTGGATACGTCATATCTACACCACAGAGGAGCTCTACTAATAGGCAAACATTTAATTTCATAGACTGTGAATAGAATGGCATCACGAAACTCATCAAAGTTTAATTGCATAAATACGTTAAAGTGGGATTCAATTACAACATTTCCAGGTCAAAAGAATAAAAAGAACCTTAGAAAAAAATGAATAATACCCCTGCCTCTTCGGCCTCAGCAGCTACCATTGCAAGTCGCGCTTTCAGACCGGAGTTCTCTTCACCTTTTGAGGTTAACTCTTCCTCTAGTGTAGCAACCCGTTCCATAGCAACACGTAACCGCTCCCTAACCTAAAAATATCGAATTATGTTCCAGTATTATAGTGTGAAAGGCTTGCTTACCTTTTCGTCTAATGCTTTGTGATGTTCGAAGAGACTCTTTAAGGCCTTCAATACCTCTACTTCTGACGAAACCTGAAATAAAATGTACAACGTCGCCATAAAACGCTGAATGAAGGGAATGCATATTTCTACCCCAGCTGGACTTTGAGCTTGCCGTTTCATCACGGTAACTCGTAAAGACCTCTCGTGTCTAGAAACAAGGCATTCCAGATGTTCTAGTAACAATCTGGTGTTGTTTCGCTCGGCCTAAACGTAAGTAATTGAAGAAAGGTCTTAATAATAAAGTGCACGGCATAACATGTGGTAGATTAAGCCTGTTGTCGTGGTCTTGCCTTCAATTCAACGATCTCCTCATCTTTTTCAAGTAACTGTTCACGAATCTGGACAAGTTCTTTTGTCATGGACTGCAACTCCTGAAGGGACTCACTTAACGTACAAGTCACAGAAAAATATTTAAATATCACCAAAGAGAACTGCTTCAATAGTACTCATTCTTCTCTTTGAGTACTAATTTCAAAAATATAACCCTCCAACACTGGTGTGGTAATGCACCATCTAATGTGTTCAGCAAGGATTGCGCACTTTTAAGGCACCGTAATAGCATGAATTTGGACATACACTACACCGAACCGCACCAAAATGTTCACAATAATAGGATGATAACTGGTAAGTGAAACAAGATGATAAAACAATAATGTTCGCAAAGGACACTAAGTCCTATCGGTGTTGTATCCTACAGTATCGAGCCTCACCGACGGGTTTAGAAGAAAACCAAATGCCCACCACTACATACGAAGGAGGAACAACTGCTCTAAAGGGTGGACGCATTCACTAATAAAGTTTTCCAGACAGCACAGACGTAACTCACATTGGGTAAATGCTGTGTGTGCATTTCAAACTGACGCCGAAGACTCTCTTTCTCTTTCTCAAGATCGCGAGTTCGTTGATTACTATCCTCAACTTGACGCTTGTATTGCTCCAGTTGTTCTTGCAATTTATCACGATCTTCTAGCATGTTAACCATGAGCTGAAACTCTAACTGTTCATTCGTAAAAAAGCTTAGTTGTAACCACGTTGTTTCCAAAAAAAAATGTATGAGAGCTCCAACACCGATCATTGGAAAATCGACGACGCTACATCAACTCCAATCACCAACAACCGAGTGATAACCGCAATAACACCGAAAACCATATATGAAAATAGCGTGAAAGAATGAAGGACAAAATTCTCGGCGTTAATCAATCTCTGACGCATGCGCCATGCATTCGCCTTCATTAAGCATCGTTTGAGGTGATTGAATGCATATCTGGCCTTTACAGTGAACCGCAGTGGCTTCCCCATATATCGATTCAGTGCTGCTATCCTCCCAGACAAGTCTGGTACCATTCTGCCGATCTTTATGAGATGGAAAGCTTGGTACGCTAGGTGCGCGGAGATCGAACCCATGTGTATTGCAGGGCGCCTCCAAACACTGCGCTACACGCGCCCATAAGAAAGATGTGGCAAAAACCAATGTGCAACAGTTCGCACGTAAGAAAACACTGTAGTGAACATAGAACATTTGAAGGAGCTGTTCATGTGCACACTGGAAGAGACAAGCCCTACTTGCTCGATGTTAGCATCGTGCGAGTGATCTTCAGTGCTCGTCACATTGTCCACACCATCCTCACTAATCGTCGGCATCACGTCGCACATCATGGCACCATTGTTCCAACTCATCGCCCTAAATTACAACTACTACTTGTAATCAGTTACAATAGCATGCTAGCAGTCATTTAATCTATTAAATAGTGGCGCCCATAGAGAACAAGAGCATGCGCATGTCATTTCGGAAATAAGCGTGGCTTTGAAAATATAACGAAATGTAGCGTAAGCAATTTTCTTTATAAATTTATGAACTACCTTTACGTAAAAGATTTTTATTAGAGCCACGTTTTCAAGGAGAAACCAAACCACATAAGAGTTGAACTATTGGGTTTAAAAAGATTGATTACGATGGAAACGCGGTGTTTTGTCAGTAAAAGAGGAAGAAGTTGCCACCTTTCCACCAAGCAGTGCCTTCTCATCAGTAGGTTGAGCAAACTTCGTATTTCTTTCAAATCCAAAGCGGGACATGATAAAAGATGGAAACAAATCCGCAAAAAGAGCAAACCTATAGCTTATTGGTATATTTACCCATGTCGATAAAAATCTCATTTCAAATTACGATCCAAAATTTAAATCTGTTTAATCGCAAAGTCCATTTGAAAAGAGAAATAGCAGAGAAACAGGAGATATCAAATCGAAAATTATCTTTGGGGAATGGAAAAAGTGTGGTCATTTCCTACGGCAGTAGTTTACTCTAGAATGGATCGGGCCAAGGGAGGATGGATCAGCTGGACACTCTGTGCAGTTCGTGGTTGGTGGTGGTCGGTTAGAGAGAGCCGGGCTCCGCTCCGTTCATTATGCATCGTACATATGTTTTAGTGTGTTGTGTAACGCAAAACTACACGCCATCGTTATATGCATAATGGAAAAAGTTACTGAAATCAGCCATAACTGGGTCAGGTCATCAGCGAATAAGAGAAAAATCAGCTTACGTCGAATATACAGATCGGATAGTTGTTCTAGTTAGTAGAAGACGTCCACGAGTGATAACAAACAGTTACTTCATTGCGGCGATGGCGAACAACTCTTGGGACATGAGCAGGAAGCAGAATGCTGAAACCACAGACAGAAAGGGTACTAGAAGCAGAATCATTTATTCCTTAAGGTCTCAGTTATCACGGTACTTAATATTAAATACGGAAGACTACTAACACATCATTGCATAACATCATCAAAAATTGGAGACCTGCTGGTGTTCGCTGCTATAAATAGACAACATAGTCGATAGACCACGAAGAAAAACATGATATCGAATTCCTTTATTTAGTCTAACCACACAAACCACCATTGTTATCTATCTATCTATTTCACTAAAAAACGCTTCACTGAACAACACAAACTTAACCGTTCTGGTATCAATGAGTAGTTTCCCTTGATTCCATGCAATGCCGATGGTGTTAAAAAATGATGGGAAGGAGTCACTTCAATTACAGTTGAAAGATCTAAGAAGACGTGTATACTGTAAGAAACAGTGGTACCATGCTTCATTGGGAATACGTTTTTAGACGAATTAAACGAACGCACGCAATCCTCGATCTTCTTATCGAAAAAAGCAAGCTGTCTCGAAAGAAACAGCACACATCGAAAAGATGATGAATTCACACGAAAAAGAACACTAAGCACCGAACGGATAAGTGACGTCGTGACGTCATCGATTCCAGGATATGAAATATGAACTTTCGAATAAGAACCTGCCATGACTGCAAGTTGTCCAGTTCGAAAAGCCGTGAAATGACGATGAATCGAAAACTGTGGGTGGGAAGCGTCGTCAGTCCAAGAAGCCGACGGCGAAGCAGCCCTCCGTCGGGGCGAGCGGCCGTCGTCGCCATCCAGCGGCCAGCGGGCGCTGGTCATCGCGCGCCGTCCGTCCTCGTCAACGGACTCCGCACTCGCCCTCACTCACTCACTCACGTACTGCAATCGATCGCACACACGCTGCACACACGCACCACACACACGCGTACATACACATACACACAACACACATGCATACATACATACATACACACGTATATACATATATTCATGTATCAACATAGAAGAACAGATGCTGATGACACAATATTTAAAAAAGCTGCAAGTTTTCAGTGCTCGGCAGAAATATGTACATATACATAAATATACGTGTATACTATATATATATATATACATACAAATAATAATGTATACGTATCAAAAATATAAAAATAAAGTATAAAATAGTAAGAAGATATAATATAAAAATAAAAAGTAAAACCTTTAAAAGTATAAAAATCCGACAGAAATATATACATATATGTATGCATATAATTAAGAAATACATATTGCACATACATATGTTGAGGATACATATTTATAGATATTTAAATGTATACACAGATACGGATACTGATGAATGTGATATGAAAAGAATCAGTCGTTTTCCTAAAAGTGGTCATTACTCCTCTACACAGGTATTCAATGCAAGAAATTCTAAAGGACTTGATGAAGACATGAACGATCAGGTGCAGAATAAACGTGTTCTTCGGCCTGTGAGCTGATCAAGTACGAAACCGCACGGAATGACGGAAGGGGTACAATCTGCAACACGCACAAGACACTTCAGAATGCACGTCAGCGAGACTTCGTGGGATGTTTTACTTTTTGCGACCACTACAGCGAAAGAAAAGGTAAGATATAGAAGAAATGATGAGTGAGGAACACGTTCGCTAGGGAAGTGGAGCATTAGAAAAAGAAAAAAAAGGACGCATGCAAAACCTATGATGGAGAGCAGTGTAAAGTATACTCGTAATGTGGCGAAGGTCGGTGAGCATGAATTGCATGCATTTAAAATAAGAAAAAACCGTTATTGAGAATTCATTAAAGTAGACAGTCGTTGCTGAAAGCACTCAATCTCAAACAACTACTCTACAAAATTAGACAGATGTGTACATATATATATATATATATGTATATATATATATATATACATATACATATATGTATACATAATAAAAAATTTTGATAAGGAATTCGGTACCACACACAAAAAGTACCATGTTGCTCTCAGTAATTACTGGTATAGAATGGTGTTATGTAAAGAAAAGCTACTTTTTAAGGAGATCTGCTCTCATAGTTCTCTTGCACTTCAATTCTACATACAACAGACATCCGTACATAAGAGATGGATTCGACCTTGAAAAGAATGGATACAACGGCATTGAGATTTGAATGAATCAGTTACTATATTAAAGGGTTGAATAGGCTAGAATTGCGGTAATAAACCTCATTCTAGAAAGCAACGCTCACATATTGATGACAAGTTTGATGTGAGTGATAAGTACTGAATGCTTACGGTAAATCTGAGCATCTAAAAGCGTTAAAAACTCTACAGTGATAAATCTAGAGAGTGGATTCTATCGAAAATATATATCGTCTACAAGAAACACATTCAGTAGTGGAAAATACCTTCAGAAGAAACAGACTTTGCCAGGAAAAGGACAAGATGTGGTAAAGCACCATGAGAACTCTTAATGATTACGGAAGGAAGTATATACCCCTGTTCGAATCGTCGTAGCAAAATTAGCGGAACCCACAATTTCTTCAAAACACTGAACAGCACAAGTCGTTAAGATAACAAGACAATAACTAAGCGCTACTCTGGTAGAATCAGGTATTGTCGGAGTAGCCGCGATGCGACCGCGCGCGAACGCACTTAGTGTGCGGACCACACTTCCAACCAAACCAGCGAACTTGTCTACCATAGATTATGAAGTGTATGTGACTCTTCAGTGGCTACACTTACGTTTTCAAAACACTTTCTAGTTGACATGTTGACTAGTTTGGTTTTACTAGTTCACTCCAGTTTAGTTTACTAGTTGACTTACTTTCTTGGACTCCTGTGCAAGGATATTATTTACTTTTACTTCTTTATTTCTTCTTCTTCTTATTTACTTCTTTACTACTTTAAGTAAAAGTCAATATCCTTGCACAGGAGTCCAAAACACCAGCGCGAAAACTCCTAGAGGCTTTTTGGATCAATGCCAAAAACCCTACAATGAATAGCAGGGACGAACGCCCGGAGGTCATACGCGACCTGATCCCGTACGTTCGCATCGATTTTTGATGTGGGATGGTGCAGTCGTCAACCACATGCGACTATAACCAGCTGTTCTAAACTTCTTCATTGGAAGTCACGAAAAAGCGGTGGGTTTTTCGAGTTGTTGATCGTGTAATTACCAAAGAGTCTTTCGTCTTTGTGTAAGTGTTATTGAAGCGTTTGGCCTAGTAGATTGTATATCAGTATACCCTTCCAGGCTCTGAAGAAGGCGATACTGCCGAAACGTCAGCTAGCGTTGTATTGTATTGTGTTTTCATGGAAGTAAATGTATGCTGTTTAAAAACCTCGCGATTGCTGAACAAGAAAACGACACATTTCTAAATAGTCTCAATACGCTGATAAATGTAGTAAAATAAAGAGAGATGGTAATGAAATGTTGGAATGGACCTCTTTGAACTAGAAATTTTTCATCGCTGAATTTTATCTACCTTTTTTCTAAGCGAATCATTAAAATTCAGTGTGAATATTTAATACTGTGTTATATTCATAGGCCTAGGAGCGGATAGCACAGTGAACCCGCCCATTTCGCGGACGGTCCAGCCTACCTAAGACATCGCTCGGAAACCCATCATGTCCACCAAGTGCGCCGTCCCGCGGGCGCGGCAAGTTGGTACCAGAGTTCTTTTGGGGGCTCCCTGTATCCATTTAGAACAGCTCTTGTGCAGCCGAGGAAAGCGACGTCGTGGGCTGCCAGAACTGCCTAGCCGGAGCTAGAATAGACCTGCTTTGTGCTTCAGCCAATGGCGATACAATGGCACATACTGTTTATCCATCCAACTACCTCGCCGCAAGGTGTACTTTGACAGGATACTTAGATAAGTTAGTATTACACTTTGACTAATCCTCTATTTCTGTTTTTATTAATCCGTAGTGTCCCGGAGGGGTGGTAGGTTTTCCTATCAAAGGTAATCTCGTTTTGTTGCCTTCGAACTCATCCAGAGCCACATCACCTCCAATAACCACGACGGAGCACCACTCCGGTTCTATCCTCCTT